CAAGACTTTTGTTTGTATTCCCCCTCGGCCTTCGCTGTCTTCTTCTTCCTCTTCCGACACGCCGCCGCCCGCCAAGCACTATTTGCCGCGCGCGACGCTATCATGACATTTGGTACCAGTTTTCGGTTGCAAATCCCGGAGCCAGGAACTTTTATACTCCATCGCGGACTTGCAGGATTTGGTGAAATTCCGGAAAATGTTCTCCCAATTTCGTTACGCCGATCCCCGTGACTCCGCGTGGTTGGTTTGGCGAGGCGAGCAACCGGTGATAAGTGCCCCGGACACCTACGCCCGCGATGACTTCTCTTCTCCAAGCGCAGCGTATCAAGTGTTGGACATCCAGTCGCAGCCACGACGCGCGCGTTCCCGCGTCCGTGACCAACGGGCTGCAGCCTACTTCGTTGATTGCACGCACGCACACCACTTCACCGACCACCGCCGTCGTCAACCACCTCACAACAACTGCGCTGGCTAGGCCACACACACGGCCATGCCAGCAAAACCCGGCGGCCAACCTAGCATCGCACCTCCTGCTTCAAGGACAGTGTCCCCGCCGACTCATCCACCAGGTGTTCGATGTATGGCCTCAACCACTTTCACTGCCACGCTGACCACGTCAGCAAGCAGTCCTACTTCAACGTCGGCTCAGTACACACAGCTAAGTTCCCACTGGACATGAACAGTGTCTGCTCACTCGACCGCGTGTAGCGCAGGTACATGGTCACCGTCACCCCTGCTCACTCGGTGGTGTTTTGCCGTGTCCTGCCACCGATGCGCATGATGCTCATAAGTTGCTTTGGCCACTAACTGGTAATTTGCATGGTTGACACGGGGCCATGGACACTACATGTGCCATTTGTGATCAAGGGAGATGGATTCTCAGGCCAATTCATTGGCCACTGCTGCGCACTTGAAGAAATCACTGCCAGTGATGCTTGTTATTTCCATAACAGAAGTACTGGTACGGACATTGTGATGCTGCCGTGGTGAAGTGCAGTGCAAGGTTGCCTGGCCACCTCCTGTTCAAACATCTCAAGGTTCTGCACATACACAAGGTGGTGGACACAAATGGTATGGTGGTTATTTACAAAAGTTTGGCAAGAAGTGATGGACCAGTCTTTGAATTTCAGAAATGTGGTGAGGCATGTAGTGCTGCATTGCATTGCACATGGTCACAATATTTTTTTTTCAGCAGTACTCACAAAATATCTTTGGGTTGTGGTGCTTCCATATTTGTGTTGTGCGAATCTAACAAAATCTCTGCTATCATACCTTCACAGGTACAAGATGCTTTGCAGTTAAGTGCTGTTGGTTTTCATCAACTGCAATATATGTGTGCAAATTACTGGATTACATTTATTCTCTCACGCGCCGAAGGCATTGATGGATCGCTCTTTTTTCCACTCAGCTTTGCTGATTCATTCCTGGATTTCACATATTTCTTGATCATGCTGCTGCCAAGCGAACAACTCCCAGATTCACTGAAAACTATATAGAGGGATGCATAAAGCTATGAGCAGGCATTCAGTCCAGTAATTCAAAGTCAGATAACCATATGGAGTTCTGGCCTTCTTCTATACCCTTTTAACCAAACTGTTGCATGGTGGGCTCCGCCATCCATTGATCGATCAGCAGTCCGCTTTTGCATTTCTTGCTGCTGTGCAATGCAAACTGTCCTGAAGTTGCAGTTCTGAACTGCAGCTGTAAAGCTCAAGTTATTGTTCAATGTAGTCCAATGCATACCTAAATATGTTGGATTGATGTTTCTCAAGTTTAAGATCTGAATACATCTTATCAGACTATGTTAATTTGTATGTCAATTTATCTTAACCGCAGATATCTCAGGGATCATAATTGCTATTAGGAGAACATAAGCTTGAACTCAGGAGTGCAGAAGAAAGAAAATATGCAAACCATTTTTTCAGCTATTTATGTCAACTGATGGAGCCACCAAATTTTCCCAAATGCTACCGAATTATACTTATCTAGTTGTGTGAATTAAGTTATAGTAGCTTACAAAGTGACATTTTAGTGACGGTGGGAAGGATCTCTGTTTTATATGTGCCGTAGGTACTTCTGAGCCCAAGGCTTCAACACATAATTTTCTTGCAATGGATTTCTTATCTTGCAAGAAGGAGGGATAAACGAACATGCGTGAACTGTAAGGTGATACCTGGAGAATGTGTGGTCGCTCAACACAAGCTGGTGGTGGCTGACTTTCGTTTTCTGGTGCAAGCTCGTGGGAACAAATAAGTTAGGGTTGCTAGAACGAAGTGGTGGAAATAAGAAGGGGGTGCATCAAAGGTCTTTAAGGAAAATGTCATTGAAGAAGGCCATTGGAAGGATGAAGGCGATGCAAACAACATGTGGGAGAAGATGGCAACATGTGTTCGGAAGATTGCTTCAGAGGTGCTTGGAGTGACCAAAGGGAGCGGATGCGTTTCGAAAGACACTTGGTGGTGGAATGAAGATGTGCAAAAGGATATTAAGGAAAAGAAGGAGTGCTATAAGCGCTTATATCATGACAGATGTGCAGACAACATAGAGAAGTACAAGGTGGCAAAGGAGACTGCAAAACGAGCGGTGAGTGAGACAAAGGGGCGGGCCTATGAGGACCTTTACCGACGTTTGAGTACGAATGAAGAAGAGAATGACATTTATAGGATGGCTAGGGCTCGTGATAGGAAGACAAGGGACTTCAACCAAGTCAAGTGTATAAAGGATGAGAGGGAGCAGCTCTTGGTGAAGGAGGATGAGATCAGACATAGATGGCAAGAGTATTTTGATAAATTGTTCGATGGTGAGAATGAGAACACCATCGTTCAGCTGGACGACTCGTTTGATGACACTAACATGCGCTTTGTGCGAAGGATTCAAGAATCAGATGTCAGAGAAGCCTTGAAAAGGATGAAAGGGGGCAAAGCGATGGGCCCTGATGGTATCCCAATCAAGGTGTGGAGATGTCTCAGGGATATAGCTATAGTATGGCTAACCAAGATGTTCAACAATATCTTTCGATCGAACAAGATGCTTGGGGAGTGGAGAAAAAGCATATTGGTACCAATCTACAAGAACAATGGAGATATCTAAAGTTGTACTAATTATCGGGGAATTAAGTTGATGAGCCACACTATAAAGTTATGGGAGAGAGTCATCGAGCAGCGCCTGCGAGAAACGACGCAGATATCAATAATCTAATTTGGTTTCATGCCTGGAAGGTTAACCAAAGAAGCAATCTTTTTAATAAGACAAGTTATGGAGCGGTTTAGAGAGCAGAAGAAGGACCTCCACTTGATTTTCATTGACTTGAAGAAGGCTTATGACAAGATACCAAGAAATGTTATGTGGTGGACTTTGGACAAACATAAAGTCCCATCAAAGTACGTGACCCTCGTCAAGGACATGTACAACAATGTTGTGACTAGTGTTCGAACAAACGATGGTAACACAAATTACTTCCCGATTAAATTTGGACTTCATCAAGGGTCAGCCTTAAGCCCTTATCTCTTTGCCTTGTTAGTGGATGATGTTACCAGGAACATACAAGGGGATATCCTTTGGTGTATGTTATTCGCTGATGATGTAGTGTTAGTGGATGAAAGCCATGCGGGAGTAAATATGAAACTAGAGTTATGGCGGCAGACACTTGAGTCTAAAGGTTTTAGATTGAGCAGAACTAAAACCGAATACATGAAATGCGACTTTGGTGGAGCTGTACAGGAGGAGGAAGATATGAGTTTGGAAGGTCAAGTAATGCCTAAGAAGGATACTTTTCGGTATCTGTGATCGATGCTACAGAGGGATGGAGATATTGATGCAAACGTTAGCCATAGAATCAAAGCAGTGTGGATCAAGTGGCGACAAGCTTCTGACATTCTCTGTGATAAGAGAGTACCACAAAAGTTAAAAGGCAAGTTCTATAGAACGACTATTAGACCGGCTATGTTGTATGGAGCAGAATGTTGGCCTACAAAGATTCAACATGTTCAACAACTGAGTGTTGCAGAAATGCGTATGTTGCGATGGATTTGCGGTCACACAAGAATGGACCGAGTTCGGAACGATGATATACGTGATCGCCTAGATGTAGCACAAATTGAAGAAAAGCTTCTCCAACATCGGTTGAGGTGGTTTGGCCATATCCAAAGGAGACCTCCAGAGGCACCAGTGCATTATGGAGTCCTAAGCCAAGCTAATAATATGAGGAGAGGTAGAGGAAGACCGAAATTGACATAGGGGGCATTAAAAAGAGATTTGAAAGCTTATACCTAGAGATCTATGTTTGAATATGAGTACTTGAAAAACAGCTATTAAAGTGCCTGAACCGTGACTTGGGGCTTTTGGTGGGTTTTAACTCTAGCCTACCCCAACTTGCTTGGGACTGAAACGCTATATTGTTGTTGTTGGATTTCTTATCTTACAATAAGTTTCTCATTTTACATTTTATATGTACCGAAGATTCTTGCATAATGATCTGATGCCAAATATGTTCATGAATCTCTCATAGTATTGAATTTTACTGATTTTCTTTTGTGTTGAAGTAAGTTCCTTGCAATAAGTTTCTCGTTGTATCAAATTTTCCTGATTTTTTATTATTAAACTATCTTTTGTGGTATATCCAGGATTTCCGTTCCTTTGCCCAAACAGCAACACAGGGATTCACAACCCAGGGAAACAAGGGGGTTTCCACTTTCCACGTGCCTTCCAAGCTACTGTAGGTATTTTGAGGTACGGCAAAAAGGTTTCAATCCAAAGGCAAAAACCAACACCACTCTTACTACGCAGACAAGACAAGTCCAGGTGAATGAATAATTAATCAGAAGCACACAACTGAAAGAGCTAGCACTGAGAAGCTACAATCTAGCCTGCTGCAATCACACGGGAAGCACACCCCCCCCACACAACAATGGCCACATACATCATACTAAGATTCAGAGTGGACTCATGCTGGCACCATCTTCTTTTGTTCTTCAGTCAGAAGAAGCAGCTTCAGCTGACTGTTAACTAGTGAATCGCTGGGATGACTCCTGTTGCCTGAGATGGCGGGTCAGGATGCCTGCATGAGAGAGAAGCGCCCAGATGTGGGTTATGAACTCTCCACCATTAGCGAGCCGCTCGACGTGCCCTCTTACATTGTCAGATGGTGCAACGTAGAGGATAATCTCTGCCCAGAACTCGGCTAGCACCTTCCAACGGATCTCCTCGTTATCTATGTGGTCCTCCAGCTCCTTCCCAAGCTTTAGTCCTCTGAAGAATATAGTGTCATTATTGTGATCCTCCTGGTCTGATGGTCTTGAGCGGTTGAGAGCCTCTGTCAGCATGTCTCTGTTTGCTATTGCACGCTCGCGAATATCCTCCTCCTGCCCTGGGTACAGAACCACTGTTGCTTCTTGCATTACCTTGTCAAATGTGAAGCTGATATATGTAGGGTTACCAGGGAGCAGTTCCGGGACAGAGGCCATGAGGTATGCAGAGTACCTGGATAAGGTGGTGGCAACCTCGCGGTAGTGCCTGAGTTTACCATGGCGAGAGATCTCCACTGCAGGAGTTAGCCCAGTTTCACAGCAGTTGGTCGCGATGTGCCATATCAGCATGGTGTCTGTTAGGTCCCAGCCATCCCGTCTCAGTGTCTCCTTGAACGGGGTGATGAACAGTTCATTCCGCTGCAGCGATGCTTCTCCGTTTGTTAGATGATCAGTGGGGGCAATGGACTTGAGGGATGAAGCAATCTCAGGCTTCACGGTATCAGGCAGCTTCACATCCTGCACGATGCTACGGCAGTACTGGCATGTGCAAATCTTCCATGCAATTTCAGTTGAGTAGCATATAAATCTTGGCAACAATGAAGAAGAGAAGCACATTTACTTTGGGTAGCGGCCCTTGTGGCGGGGAAGGTTTATGCCAACGGCTGCCTTCAATTACTGAGTACTGGCCTATCTCGTCTTGCCAGTACTTGAATAAACTTCGCTTTCTAAGCATATATATCAGCTTATGGAGAAGAGAGTACATGGCTTGGCATGGTCCTTTTCTCACATGGTAGCATGCCATTGATACCAAGGACCAATCTGATGCCAAATACAGCATGGCTTGCAATACCTCCACAGTGATCCTGAATGCTCTCTTGCCATCCTCTGACGCCAGGAGCCCACTGAGTACGAAGCCGCGCGTCTTCTGGAGACCGGCCTCATAGCAGTTGATCCCAAAGTACCGGCGCTTGAGCAGGTGAAACAAGGCAAATGAGAGGCACACATCTTTCGACTGCGAGCCGCCGCTTGGATCGAAGGGCAGCATATCACTGCACTTCTCCCAGATCATGTCGACGGTGATGATATCCTCCTCAGATAGCTTAGTTCTGTAACCATGGGCTGTGGCACCGTGAGTGTTGAGGAAGTAGCCATACCACCGAACAAGGTACCTGCCGCCTTCCATCCTGATAGGGTCAGGCTCAGACTCGGACCTGGACCCCTGCAGCAGCTGAGACTCGGACCGAGAGCCTCCCGAATCAACCTGCTCAAAGAGTTGCTTCTTCCACTGCTTGGTCTCGTCAAGATCATAGGCCGTGACGGAGTGTGTAAGCCAGCCACACAGGTCCTTGGATCCACGTGCTGCTTGACCGCCGCCTGCAGAACCCAGAGATGAGCTGCAAAACCAACAGGGTGGTTGCTCCTGCCACGAAGGCTTCGACTTCGAGTATTGTTCTCCTTGGGCTTGGACCCGGTGCCGGTGCCGTGGCTGGTTGCTTCTCCGCTCAATCAGGCTACAGGCATTTGCTGGAATCAATGTCTAAATTTGGATCGGAGCAGAGAAACAAAAGTCACTACAGATGGTCGGTATATGTTCGTGGTCTGGAGCAGCTGGTTGGTCCTTCTTCCAGGATGTAAGCATATCATCCTTCTAAGTAAGGTATCCGACACCCAACCTCGTGGCTGCTGAATTATCAAAAAGAACACACACACACAAAAAAAAAGACCTCGTGCTTGATGAAAGCACAAAGCATCAAATCAAAGTAGAAAAACTGAAGGACCGCTACCTGTGAGAGGAGATCTGTTCTACACTTTAGTAAAAGAAAAGGGAAATGTCGTCAAGTATTAGTACTAACTCTCTTTATTTACCTTCCCTTCGTTACACCACATGCTCACATGCCTGAAAGGAAAAGATCCGGTTCAATGACAAATAAACAATCGTGATAGTGAAGCACACAAGTGGCCACATTTATACCGAGGTTTATATATACTATAAAACTGACACGAATAACTAGAATATCCGTGCCAAGCTCACATCATTATGAAACCAACAGAGATATTAGCATATCCCTACAGTATGATGTCTTGCTTTTGAATGTCCACAGTGCTTGTATGAAAGGACATTTCAGGCTAGGATTTCTGTGATGCACAGCATTACTGCGCCACTGCCGCGCTGTTAAATTTTCATTATGCATATAACTTTCCTGAATCATGTATCGTATGTATGTAGCAACTTATATGGCAAGGCACACCCTTATTAATGTGTATCCTCTTTTTTTTTGTAACGAAGGCAAGATTCTGGTGTCCATACCTTATTAGGGTTTTTTTGTGTTCTTGCCCCCTCACTTTGAAGTGCAATTGTGATTTTGCCCTCGTTTTTCTAACTTTGTGATTTTACCCTTCACTGCTCGCAAGTCAACGTGATTTTGCCCCTGGTCTTTGTGAATTTGCCCCTGTTTTGACCGTTGACTAGGGGTAAAATCGCGTTGACTTGCTCGTAGTGAAGGGCAAAATCACAAAGTTAGAAAAACGAGGGCAAAACCATAATCGCACTTCAAAGTAGGGGCAGGAACACAAGAGCCCCTATCTTATTATTAGAGTCTGTCTACTCAACAACCATGTTGAAAGGTCCTAATGGCTAGAGGGGGGGTGAATAGCCTAATAAAAATTTCTACAACAACACTTAACCAAATGGTTAGACAATTATGAGGCGAAGCTAGTGTTGCGCTAGCCTACTCAAAAATGCAAGCCACCTACCACAATTCTAGTTTAGATAGTGTCAATTCACACAAGAGCAATGACACTACCCTATGTTAGTGTGCTCTCAAAGGCTAACTAAAGAGCCACACCAACCAAGCATGCAAGCTCTCACAACTAGCTACACTAAAGAGCTTGTCAACTAGTTTGCGGTAAAGTAAAGAGAATGATCAAGAGGGTTATACCGTCGTGTAGATAAATGAACCAATCAATCACGAAGATGAATAACAATGATGACCAATCACCTCGGAATCAAATGATGAACACAATGATTTTTACCGAGGTTCACTTACTTGCCAAGCAAGCTAGTCCTCGTTGTGGCGATTCACTCACTTGGAGGTTCACGCGCTAATTGGCATCACTCACCAAACCCTCAATAGGGTGCCGCACAACCAACACAAGATGAGGATCACACAAGCCACAAGCAATTTACTAGAGTACCTTTTGGCGCTCCGCCGGAAAGGTCAAGAACCCTCACAATCACCACGATCGAGTCGGAGACAATCACCTCCTCCACTCAACGATCCTTGCTGCTCCAAGCCGTCTAGGTGGCGGCAACCACCAAGAGTAACAAGCGAAATCCATGATGAAACACAATCACCAAGTGCCTCTAGATGCAATCACTCAAGCAATGCACTTGGATTCACTCCCAATCTCACTATGATGATGAATCAATGATGTAGATGAGTGGGAGTCCTTTGGCTAGGCTCACAAGCTTGCTATGTCAATGAAAATGTGCAAAGGTTATCCCTTGAGCGGCCATGGGGCTATAAATAGAGCCCCCATCAAATAGAGCCGTTATACCCCTTTTTGGGCAACGCGCGTTACGGCCGGGACGCTCGGTCGGGATCGACCGGACGCCTGGCCCCAGCGTCCGGTTGTTCGATGTCACCACGTGTCCAGACTCAACGGTCATCGGCCTCGACCGGACGCCGCTCCTTGAATCGACCGGACGCTGAAGCCTCGGCGTCCGGTCGTTTCCCGATAAGCTCCCCGAGGCATGTTTCTTCGACCGACGCGTCGTCCATCTTGACCGGGACGCAGACCAGCGTCCGGTGCTCAACCTTCCTCATTGTCTTGCTGCCGAAGTCAGTTATGACCGGACGCAGCGAGCGGTCGTCGTCCGGTGCGGATTGGCGTCCGGTCACAGGACCGACGCCAACATTATTTCGACCAACTCCATTTCAACTCTAACTTCCTCACCCTTGCTCAAATGTGCCAACCACCAAGAATTTTGTATCCGCGCAATAGAAAATAGACATTTCATTTTTCCCAAAGCGTTGAATCCACCTCATAAGCTTCGGCGGGAGGGAGAGAGGACCCAAACCCATCTCAACCCCTGCAAACACCTTGTGCACATGTGTTAGCATATTTTCACAAATATTTTCAAGGGTGTTAGCATTCCACTAGATCCTAAATGCATATGCAATGAGTTAGAGCATCTAGTGGCACTTTTGATAACCGCATTTCGATCGAGTTACACTCCTCTTAATAGTACGGCTATCTATCCTAAATGTGATCACACTCACTAAGTGTCTTGATCACTAAAACAAAATGGCTCCTACATTTTATACCTTTGCCTTGAGCCTTTTGTTTTTCTCTTTCTTCTTTTCCAAGTTCAAGCATTTGATCATCACCATGCTATCACCATTATCATGATCTTCGTCATTGCTTCATCACTTGGAGTAGTGCTACCTATCTCATAATCATCTTGATAAACTAGGTTAGCACTTAGGGTTTCATCAATTCACCAAAACCAAACTAGAGCTTTCACATGTGTTTCAACAAAAGGTAGCACATGGTTGTTTGCTAGCTACAAAACACACAATTTGTAACAAAGGAAAAACCATGTATTTTAGCACAGGCTAGCACATGGTTGTTGGTTGTTTGCATAACACATGATTTCCAAGAGAGAAGAAACCATGTGTTTTAGCATAAGGTAACACACGTTTTAAAGAGTGCAAGGTTCATTTTGCTCCCTCAGGTGCTTGACACTTCACCGCACCTCCGGGCATCGGCCCTCTTGAGCATCCACATGCCGCTCAGAGGTTTCAGGGCTCATGGGATGCACTATCCTCTTACAGTACACAAAATTTTCTCCATCGACTGTGGTAGCATCACTTTGTCGTTAGCAACTTCGCTAGTTCCTTGGCCTCCTCAACAGGACCATTTTCAAGGGATGCACTTTCCAAAGAAATAACTTGGTGTCGGTGGTTTCACCGATTAGCACTTCATCGTTTCCTCCGTTCAAGGAAATCTCTCTTAATTGGGGATGATGAAGGAACAGAGGCAACTAGGCGATCATTGATTCCTCTATCACCATCAAACGTAAACCAGTTTGAATTGTGAAGAGGACTGCTGCAGAATCGCACACTATAAGCCATCTTACTTCTTGTAAGATTTAGGTCACTGAAATATATTAATTACCTGTCACGATCATCCCCAAGCGCAATGAAGATATTACTACTTCACTCACTCATCATCAAAGTAGACATCCTGAAATACATGGACAGGAATAAGCTCATAGATAATCCATGTTTGTTATAGCATGATACAATATGTTTTTAATTATCAAATCAAAAGTATTGACCATTTACCAATCTTACATTGACTGTATTGAAGTAAAACAATAGAAATATTTACATAAGTAGTAATTTGTAAGCATACCTCATCATCTCGCTCGTGGGATCCTTGTGCCGCAATAATCAAACATAAAATACGTTATAATGTTAGCAATGAAGGTAATATTAGTATATTACAGATTATCCGGGAGAATTCAAGGTTTTATTTTTACATGGTTGAAATGTTTAGTTGTAAAACAACAACGGTGAAGATATTATAATGATTTGAAATTGAACACAACTTTTTTCTAAATACCACTCTACAAAATTATAGCATGCTACAAAAGAACATGATGTTCAAAACTCAAGAAAATCTTGCTAAAAAAACTGACGAAAATCACCTCTTCAATGTCATCATTGCTGTATATCCCATATCGAAATGCCTAACTCAGATTATTAGCAAGTGCTGCCATATCATAGTCTTTGTCTCGGAAGTCGTCATCATCGCTATCCCTCCCATGATCATGTAGAGAAGTTGGACGGCTGCAGCATAAAACATTAGCCAACTGTCAGGAAGAAATATACAAGTTACAGTGCACTTTAGGAGAGTCCTGTTTGATCAAGGCAACATAGATATATGAGCCCTTTACTAGAAATATATCCAAAAAAACATATGAATTCTCACTGAGACAACAAACCAACCTCCATAACCACTGCAAGTACAGCATAATAATGACATTTTTTTGCGAAAACGCAGGAGGGTTGCGGTTCATTATTATTAAGAAGAAAATACAGGACAAGAACCCAAACACTCACACACTCTACACACCACCAAAGCTTAATAATGACATGATTTAGTGCCCAACAAATGTCATATAACACTATGTTACTGAGTGATCAAGTGTACTTACTGATGAGCTAAATTTATCCAAATTATAGAACAAAGCATAATAATGATATCAACAACTATAGAACAAAGCTGGGAGACAATAATTTACTTACTGCCAGATGCCAAAGGTTCACACATATGAGAGAATATAATTTCCAGAAGCACAAAAGAGGTAGAAAGAACCTTGACATAATACAATTCATGGTGCCAAACACACTAAGAAAAATAAAAACATAATACAAATTACAAAACAATAATTAAAAATTTGTGCATTATAACCAGTGCAATTTCTAGTATTAAAAAATGCAATATCAGATCTTATAAGCTTACTTGCAAAATCAGATCCTTCACAAGTAAATAGGGCGTCATTTCTCCGTCTAATGCAAACCTGATAGTAGCTGGCACCTGAAATTAAAAACAAAACAGATCAAAACACTGTATTCTTTTCCTGCAGTTGACTCAAGCGTAAACATAGTATATTACAATGTGATAAGATCATGCACAAAACAGAAAAACTGAGAGAGGATAGAGCTATTTTACACAAATTCCACTACAAAACAGATCACATGATAAGGAAATTGTGAAGGATCAATGCAAGCTATTTTACTCTTTAAACTTTATCCAGATTTGCAAACCATAAAACTTGAAGAAACATATGCAGCCATCAACATTCTATTCATATC